AATCACAATCTGAACTTGCTCGGACGATTGACTCATATAGAAGTCCAGCAGCATGAAACAATATGTCTCAAACAGTTTGGTATGCTCAGTGACCACGAGTGTAGTGTTTGAAGTTTTTAGAGTACTTGGTTAACAGCAGTGTAGTCTCAGGAGTACTCAGTGGGACCAAGTGTTTCAATAACCACTTACCAGTAAGTGTTGCTCAAAGAGAACCAATAAGGTGTGTTCTATTTTACAAGCTCAAGTAAGCTTTAGCTCGAGGAGAGTGCTGTATACTAAATTTGTTACAAATGTAATTGGTGACTTCTTATATATGCTGTCATCTTAGTGGTATGATGGTATCACCTATAGCTTTGATGATATCACTCTTAGATAAAAGGTTCCTACTTTTTCACGTACTCCTATTTATCCATCCCACCATTACCATGCATATGTATTGTATCAGAAAGATGAATTGTGCAATAACAAGCTTCTATGGACTACGTTTCAAAATGTATTGACATTTTAAGTTGAATATTTTACTACAATTTCAGATTAAAGTGACAACACAAATATACGAAGTATAAAGAATACAAGATTCAAGTGAATAAATCAGAACAGACTTAAAAGAATATTACAAAAAATCAGAGCATAACCAAGCAAATGAAATGGGATCGTCATTAGATATAGTGTGAAAGAAACAAGTACAGGCAGGATTAACTTACTTCCGCCCTAAGAAATCATTTTGATTGATATGTATAAATGGTGGTACTCCATCAGGTAGTTGGACCTTCAAGAAATACAAACTATTACATTTTCATTTTTTTAGACGAAAGTACTTCATAAATCACAATCCAATTACATTTTCATTTAAGATGCAAAGAAAAATAAGGTTATAAGAATAATTCAAAAAATAAACAAATGGAAAAAATTACTAAGTTGGGCTAGTAATCTTCACCTTAAGGGAGTCAAAGTGTAATAATCCAATAAATAAACGAAGAAGAGCTTCAACATACAGAAATTGAGTTAAGGAAAGGAATCCTATGATTACCATTATTATATTATAGCACATATGGTAGCAATTATATAGGCTCTACGTTTCTTAGTTTGATTTGTTTCCTTGTATAGTTTTCTTTCCTTTTAGGCTTAGAGTTCCCAACCTGTGGGTTCCTATAAATACTGCATTGTCTTCTATTTTGATTCATTCAAAATATATAATTAAATTTCACCAAAATATTCTTAAATCTATCATGGTATCGGAGCCAAAATATTTCTAAACCCTAGGTGATACGATAGCTTTGTCGACTAGCCCGATAATTTGCAAGCTACGATCACAATGTCCGAAGCTTCCAAGACACCGACCAAGGTGAAGAAGAACGTCGAGGATGATGACGACGTAATGACGACGCGTTGATGTTGTATCTCGCCATAGGATTTGTCACCCAGTGATAATCTTGGTATGTTACTCACACAAGTTGTATTGAAGGGACCCAACTACGATGAATGGTCCAAATCTCTATGCCTTGCTCTTCGAGCGCGTAAGAAATTTGGATTTGTTGATGGATCTATACCTGATTCTGATGATTTTGAAGATTGGCGGACAAACCATTCCTTGATTGTTGCATGGATACAAAACACTATTGAACCCGTGCTGAGATCATCGATCTCATTCACAGAGATTGCTTCCGAGCTTTGGGCCGATCTGAAGGGTCATTTCTTGGTGGTAAATAGACCTAGGGTTCAACCATTGAAGCGGGAACTGACTGAATGCAAACAGAAGGGACTCTCCATAATGATCTATTATGGTATGAAAAAGAAGATATGGGATGATCTTTTGGACGTGGAAAAAGTTCCAACTTGCACGTGTAAAAATTGCACGTGCGATTTTGCGGCAGCCCTTGCCAAAATTCGTGAAGAGGAGCGTGTTCATCAAGTTATTGATGGGACTCGGCAAAACACTATATGGATCTATTCGTATGAACCTTCTGTCTCAAGAACCCTTGCCCACAGTAACTAGGATATATAATATACACAGGAAACAACGTGGGATGCTATGTGCACCATTGACACGGACAAAGAAGCGGCGGCTTTCCTCACTCGATTTGGACCCAAGAAAGAGGTCACTTGTGGAAACTGTAAAAAACCAGGTCACGACGTTGACACGTGTTGCGGGTTTAATAAGTATACCGAAGGATGGGTCTTCCGAGGTGAGGCAGGCCGGCCGAGGAGGTTGGGCATGCTGCCGCACATGCAATGCATGGAGGAGGCATTGATGTTGAGCGTTAAACCACCACTCTGCCAAATTTTGAGAACTTAACTCCCAAGCAATGAGACACGGTGCGACATGCACTTTCTTTGTCACCCATCGGTATGAATGAAAAGTTGTCAAGTATTCCTATAACCCCACATTTGATTATTGATACAAGAGCCTTGAATCATATGACGGGTGATATATCTTTGTTATTTGATATTACTCCTATTGCTCCTTGTGAGATTGGATTCCCACTTTCTGTTCAAGCAGGGAAAGATTGTTTAACCAAAACCTTGCTTTTGAAGAATGTTTTATTTGTTCCCACACTTAGTTGTCACTTGATCTCGGTTTCTCAGTTAACCAAGAAATCAAATTGTGAGGCGTGTTTTACCGGAGGATTTTGTGTAATACAGGACCTAAGTTTGCAGGTGACGATTGGTGTGGGGACACAGGCTGAAGGACTTTACCATTTGGAAGAAAAAGAAGAGAGGAAGGTGTGTAATGAAGCAAAGGAGAACTCTTTTGATTTATGGCATAAACGTCTTGGACACCCCTCTTCTCATGTTTTGTCATTAGTTCCGTTTGCTGGATCTAAAAAACATAGTAGTTTAAATAATGGTTGTTGTGACATTGGCCTTCACGCCAAACAATCGCGTACCAGTTTTCCCATCACTTTTTATCAATCTAGTGCAATTTTTGATATGATAGTATGATACACTGTGATTTGTGGGGCCCATATTGGACACTCAGTTTGGATGGCTCTACTATGTTTTTAACTATTGTTGATGATTATTCGTGTGGAGTTAGGGTGTATTTACTTGGTTGTAAATGAAAACTGGGATCATTTTTTGGTGATTTTGCTGCCATGGTTGGCTGACAATTTGGGAAGAAAATTAAGTGTGTCCGTAGTGACAATGGGACAAAATTTGAATGTTTGAAGGATTATTTTAGACAACAAGGCATTATTTATGAAACTCCATGTGTTGGTACTCCACAACAAAATAGTCGTGTTGAATGACAACACCGCCATATTTTGAATGTAGCAAGGGCTTTGAGGTTTCAGGCAGGACTACCAATTGATTTTTGGGGTGACGGTATTCAGACTGCGGCATGTCTTATATTATCAATCGAACACCCTCCCGTCTCCTTACGGGGTGTCCCCCTACGAAAAACTTCATGGAAAGGCTCCTTCATTTACTCATATTCGTGTTTTTGGTTGCAGAAGTTATTCTCATAATAAAAAACGAGGCGGGGATAAGTTTGCATCGCGAAGCAACCCAGGAATCTTCTTGGGTTATCCTCAAGGAAAGAAGGGGTGGTGTATCTACTTTCCCAAAACTGGAGTTGTTGCAGTATCTCGTGATGTATATTTTTGGGAAAATATTTTCCCGTTTCTTTCTGAAACAAGAAGTGTCTCAGATTTTGTGCCTGCCTTGGAGAATGGACCATTTCCAGTTGATGAGCCCGAAGTATTGATGCATCAGGCACGAAACGAGCAGAGCAATCCCGATGCTGAAGCCTCTTTGCCGGAATCTGCCGTGTCCCTGCCCCCAACACCAGACGAGTCCGAGGCTCCTTTCTCTACCTCTGCCTCGCGGATCGCTGACACGCCACCCTCATCGTCTGATGACAGCAACGACGATGCCGGCTGTGAGGCCGAACAAGGACGTGGATGCAGGGAGCGGATTCCGAATATTCTTAAATCTATCAAATTGATAGTCAGTATTGAACTATTGGTTCCAAATTTATTTGATTTAAGGGTTTTATAATAAAATGTATTACGAGTAGTTCATAATTTAAAAACCCTTATTGGTTGCAGTGCTTCAGTGGCCATTATGATCCATTATCAAATACATGATACGACAAATATAATTCAAAGCAAACATGAAAAACAATAAAACGCAGGAGGCGAATGATTCAGTGAAAACGATACATTGGATGTACAAAACAGAGATTCTCTCTGAAGAACGAACAGGGCAAACCTGTGAGGAATCGCGTGCGGAACACATGCACGCTCGGGCAATGCTAGAAAACGCCAAGGACAAATGCCTGAAGTTGAACAGATCCGAATCAGTTAGGATTAGAAGGGGACGGGATTGGAGTCAAGTTTTTTTCCTGCAGATAAGAATGCGCCGATCACCGTGAGGGGTTGGAGAGGCCCGGAGGTATTGTTTATTTCAAAACAACATTCAACAATTGTTTATATTCACATATTCTTTAATTTAGAGTAAAAATTCCCGCAATAATTATGTGTTTTTTTTTAAATTAATCCTCAAACTAACTAATTTTCAAAAAAAATATTCAGTAATTGAAAATAATACTTAAGGGCTGTTTGTTTCAGCCTCTTAATGGTTCAGATGTCTGGTTCAGCACTTACCGATTCAGAAGTTGCCAAACAGCCTCTTAGTTCACTTCCTTGACTAACAGCCGTTAAAATGAAGTTAGACCTTATTTTACTTTCCTAAAACGATATTTTGGTGTTTTCTCAAATTGGTCTATTTTCAAAATAAAAATATATTAATTATGGAAAAATATTTTAAATATTATAGGATCATAATATAATACTAAAAACTATAAATATAATTTTATAAATTTGAAAACTACGAGAGTAATAATTCTTTAAAAGTTAAAAGTACAAATATATTCATCGGCTAATCATACTAAGGGGCTGTTTGTTTCAGCCTCTTAATGATTCAGATGTCTGAATGGTTCAGCACTTAATGGTTCAGACTGTTTGTTTCAACCTCTTAATGGTTCAGATGTCTGAATGGTTAAAAGATTTGCCTCTGAATGGTTAAGTATTATACAGAGTCTGAATGGTTAAGACCTCTTATCTGAATTGATCAGACATTTGCCTCTGAATAGTTAAGCAATATACTAGCTCTTAATGGTTCAGACCTCTTACTGGTTCAGCACTTAATGGTTCAGACCTCTTACTGGTTCAGCACTTACCGATTCAGAAGTTGCCAAACAGTCTCCAAGTGATTCATACAAAAATCAACACTTTTCATATTTCTTCTCTTCTATTGCTTTTAAACACTGTGCTTCATCTTCTTCTTCCCTTTATTTTCTTCATTTACTTCCTTTTCTTCTTTTTCTTTTTCTTTTTCACCTGCATTCTTTTCTTCTATTGCTTCTTTTTCAATCAACTTCCCCTTCTTCTACTTCTTCATCATCTTCATCCCATTTGATCTCAACCATGTTCCTAAAGATCGACCTCAATGAAGAGGACCTCAATGAGGAGGCCATCAGTGAAGATGAGCTCCTACCTCAATGAACTGAAGAAACTCAACTTACATAGAACGACACATAACAAAAGCAAGATAAGAGAGCACCAAAACTCAAAGAGATCACCAAAAGAAGAATCGTAGACATGATGTTGAATAATTACACCGGTATCAACCATAAATGAACGTTGCACCAAAGCACACAACAATGGACATAAAAATAAAATATTTTACATGTCAAAGATGACATACATTCCATTTCAAAAGAAGAAGACTTAATGACCTTAGGATATGAAATGGGGACATCAAAGTCAATTATCCACATATAGTTGCAGAACAAGCAAATTAACAGGCACTCAAATACAATGAGACCACTGCCCAATAATGAAGGTAAGTTTAAAAATATGATTCTTCTGTTTGGGCCATAAAGTGCCTACCACTCAACTCAATTTTTCATCACTTTTATGATAATGTGTACATGAATGAGAAGCGACCAATTTCTACACACTACCCATAAAGGAAGAACCATATAGGACAGTTCAATCTAAAAATATTATTCTAAAATATATATTTTTGGATGTTGTGCGAATACTTAGACTAGTAGAGTTTTGGATGTTGTGCGAATTGGTTGAAAATGCACAAATTGATGTTTGGGACATTCAAATAGTTTTTGGTTTTATACTCCTGCCTTTTACTTTCAAACCCTTGCAATTGAGTTTCAAGCTTTGGGTTTTTGAAAAAACAATTGTGGTTTTATTTTAATATGATTTTTTTCCATCTTTTCACATTGCTTCCTACTCCACATATATAGTTTCTTCACTCTTAGTTTTTTCAACTCTTTCCTAATTGTTTTTTTAATTCTAATTTTCTTTCAACAATTCTAGTTTTTTCAAGGTAGATACTAAAATATAAGTAAGGGCATGTTTGTTTCAGCCTCTTAATGGTTCAGATGTCTGAATGGTTTAGCACTTAATGGTTCAGACTGTTTGTTTCAGCCTCTTAATGGTTCAGATGTCTGAATGGTTAAGAGATTTGCCTCTGAATGGTTAAGTATTATACAGAGTCTGAATGGTTAAGACCTCTTATCTGAATTGATCAGACATTTGCCTCTGAATAGTTAAGCAATATACTAGCTCTTAATGGTTCAGACCTCTTACTGGTTCAGCACTTAATAGTTCAGACCTCTTACTGGTTCAGCACTTACTGATTCAGAAGTTGCCAAACAGCCCCTAAACATAGGAAAAGAACTAATGCAGGGTGGGCGACAGTATGCTATACCATCTGGAAAAAGAGAAATGATGTTATTCACAATAAGCGCAAAGATAAAGAAGGTGACCTTAGGTTACCTTAAGAATGTTTTATTTTATCTTAGAAATTTCACTTGTAAAAAAGTTGGTAGTTGGTAGAGCATGGTTTCCTGATGTGTAAAACTTTTTGACTGGTTTGTTGGTGAATAATATAAGTGTGCATTTTTTTTAAAAAAAAGTCTTTCATGTTTTTATCCCCATTATAGAATGTATGATGCCACTAATACCAACATACAATACCAAAAAATATTGTTGAATGCTAATATACAGTATCACATTGTCACAATCTAATAATCCTTGTTTGAAAATAAGAATTTGTCACTTTTTTTTAGAAATATGGACTAGACTTTCTTCCGACTTTGAGTGATTTTTTCAACTCAAATAAAAAGAACCTAAGAAGCTACGTAGTACATCATTACAAGATAACTAATTCATGGTAAAATGATTTTGAAAAAAAAAGAAAGAAAAGAGAACAAAATAAGAACACCAAAAACGAAGAATCTTGCACTCATTATTCAATAAAGATGGCTTTGGGTGTTTTTCAAGTAGATGTTCATGAATTCTTGTCATCATTTACTCATATCAGAGAAGTGATTGATGACAGGGTTGATTCCCTCATTTGGAAGAAATGAATTTTTTTATTCCTGAATTGAAACCTCAAATTCCTCATTAGGAATATCACATATAGTACATACGAAATCTTTTTTTTTGCAGAAATGTCCGATCGTCAGTACGATTATGGAAAAAAACAGCAAAATTGCGTGTAGTACATGTAGAAATATTGTTTTTTTATTGTGCACACCACCTTGAACGGTCAAAAGGAAAGTAGTGAGGTAGAGGCCCCACGAAATGGCATGTGTTACCTGCCATACAAATGGGGCAGAGGGCCCACTCACATGCTTCACAATTCTACTTTTCTAGTTCGTAATTACTTCTTGGCCATGTTTGGTAAATAGCTGTTGAGGTAGCATTTGGATGTTTTGAACATGAATGACTTTTTTCACTTTTCAATCTGCCAAAAGAAATGTTTGGATGCCGGCCTTTGGATTTAGATGTTTGCCACGAACAGCCGAAATTTGAACAGCCAACATGAGTGGCGTTTTTAATTGGCTAATTGCATCTATTTTATTTTTTGCCCTTAGTGAGCCATTCCCAAAAAGATGCCCCCATAATCGTCATTTTTTTATCAAAGCATTCTTTTTCTTTCTTTTTCTTATCATAGACATGTTTCTTCATTTCAATAATTTTTATGGAACACCACTCTTCTTTTAGCATCATCTTTTTAAATTTTTATTTTAAAATGAAATGATTATAAATAATTATAGAAAATAAATAATGTTTAAATTCTAAGTGTTCAAAAATAACTTTAAAAAAATAATTTGTGTGTTTTTAACACAATTTAAGAAACATCCTCTCTATTTCTGAGTAGGGGTAAGAACTGCTTACAACACCCTTCCAAGATCCTACATTCGTGGGATCCTATTAGGTTGTTATTGTTGTTATCAAAATTTAAAAATTTAAACTATTAAAAACAATAAATTAATTAACACATCCTTTCAAAAAAATTAAGCAACATATTTGGAGACATGTCTAAATATGTAATTTTCATTGCAAAAATTTGTTTATGAACAACTAAATTTACCAAACAATTTTTTCTTAACAGCCCATACAATCCGCAGGTCAAAACAGTTAACTCAATCAGTCATTTAAAACAGTCAATTGCCAATAACTAACCGCTAACATCCAAACAAGGCCCTTATCCCATACGTTCCAACTACTCCTTTGCCAACCATCCAACTCCACACACTCCTTATTCTAATTCAGCACAAAAATCTCTCTCTCTCTCTCACACACACACACATATATATATGGGGTTAGGATTTCTAGAGAGAAGGGGGAGTTTTCAACGGAGGCACCACTTCGCCGATCCTTTCAATTTCGATGGCCAATTCCCGCATCATCAGAACTGGAATTATGAAGGGAGAGGTAGAGGAACCCCTACACCTCGGTGGCGAAGCAATTCGAGAAACATCAGAAAAGGATGGAGATCCAAAACCTGGTTTGGTGATGTCCGAGCAAACTCTCCTCGTTACAAAGGTCCTTTTATATGCAATTCTAGCGTTTCAATCTCGATCGAGAGCAAGGTATTTAATTTCCAGACTCCAGGCCTGATTGTAATTTCTGAATCCAAGAATGGTAAATCTCGAATTGTTTCTTTATCGCGTTCTACTGCCTCGTGGCTTTCTGAATCACTAAGTCACCCACCATTGGCTAGAGAGGGTTGGGTGATTTCCAAATATGAGGGAAATTTGAAGGTGAAATGCCACTGGGATTCAAATTTTTCTGGAAATTTTGTTAGAATTAGCGCAGGGACAGAAAGGGAGATGTCGAATATTTGCATTCCGGTTGGAAGGCATTCATAAGGAATTAAGCTTTTTGTTAAAGCTCTGAATGTAGCACTAAGCTTCCAAGAAGGCCAGGAATCTGGGGTTAAGGATTTAAACTTTATCAAAGCTCCTGCACCTCTAGACTTGCTGATGCTTCCTGGGGAATGAGTAGAGGAGAAGCAAAGGGGGTTTCCTTCCATTTCATCTAATATTTTTGAACAAGATATTGTGCAGGTTTCAAGGATTGAAAAAATCACAGAAAAGGGGCTTTTTTCTGATCCAAAAGAGGAACTCGAAGAGGAAATAAACAAAGTTCAAAAATTATTCCAACCAGCTTTTGAGGCCTACTTTGAATCGATCTTCAAGGCAGTAGAAAGACAAATTAAAGAGGCTTTGGCAAGGACAGAACTTCTGGACAAACTCAAAATGGGTCTCTTTCAAAATATGTCGGGGAAGACGTTAAGAGCAACAAGGGAAACAGTGAAAAGCATGAAAAAAGTAACCCTGGTTCAATTCGAAGATTCAAAATACCCAGCTTTTATTTCCTGCTCCAAGGCTGATGAAGGTCTTATGGTTGAATTTTTAACAGGGGAACAAGCTGCAGAGTCCCAAACTACAACTGCTTAAGTCTCTTTGGATGGGCTAGTGGGTCTCTCCTATTAAAGGGACGATGGGTAACCGATGTGAGCATTCATCTGTTGTGCATACCCTCGGGGAAATATGATACTTCCAAGCTATGTTGCTCTTTTCATTAAGACTTGAACAAACTCAAAATGGGTCTACTTCAGTAACTTTTTAGGAATGGGCAATGCTGCTGTTTCATTAAGACTTGAACAACATGCATTGTCCGGCAGCTGGTTGGGGGCCTCGTTCGGGTCTGTCCCCTTTTGTTTAAATTCTTTCAATTGGAGTCATTGAAGACCCACCTAAGGGGTTGTATTTGCTTTTGTATTTCAATTGTTTGTACTTTAGTTTTTGGAGACACTATTTTGTCTATTTCTTGGGTTGTTTTATGCGATGTATTTGGTTTTGAGGAACATTGGCTTGGACCCCTCCTTTTGTACTTGTTTGCCTTCCTTTTTAATAAAACTTTCTATTTAATATATATATATATATATATATATATATATATATATATATATATATATATATATATATATATATATATATATATATCTGTGTGTGTGTGTGTGTGTGTGTGTGTGTGTATAGGTTGGTTCACATGAGAATGTACTTTTGTGAAAGAAATAAGAATAAAATCTAGCCTTTGGATCTGATGCATTGTGCGGCTCAGATTGCATCCTGCGGTCAGATTTTGAGATAGCGCATTTTCAAAGGATTTTGATGCTTTTCGACATGACGCATTTTCAAACCATTTTGGTGCACCTAATTTTGATGCAATCCCGACCCTTAGATTTCACAATCTAAAGCACCAGATTCATTCTTATTTCTTTCATAAGATCGCATTCTCACCAATATATATATATATATATATATATATATATATATATATATATTCATTTTCTCTCCGAATTTATTTATACTCCCTTTGTCCCAACTTTGATTACAATTTTTTTTCTCATCTCGATAACTTTCGTTTGTTTACGCAATTTCATTTAGTATTTGATAAAATAAAATATTCTTCTCACCTCTTGTTTTGTAGATTTTTGACGTAGTTTTTTAATATGTAATTTTTATTTATTATCGATATATCAATTTGTAAATAAAATAATTTCAAAAAATGAGATAATTCTCCTCGTAAACCCCAATTTGTAATCAAATTGGGGACATAGGGAGTATAACTTTCAAACCACTCCATAAGAGTCAAAATTGCTCAGGTATTTTTTATTATCTATATTGCACTTAAAGTTTAGACATTAATAATATTGATGGTAAATATTATGTTATTGCTAGTTTCCATTCTTTATTTGGTAGTCTTAGAATTGTGTATAATATATTCTCTACCATGTGCTCCATAATTTAATGAACAATATTATGTTTGAATTTGGAACTTATTAAATACTTCATAGTTAACAACATTTTTTTGTTGTTTATTTTTTTAAAATAAGGCATGTGTGTATTTAAAATTTATAGTAAATGATTTTTTTTGAATTTTTTTCTTTTTAAAATATGGAATTTTTTTGTTATTTTTATTTTGCATTTATTTTTTATTTCGAATTTATGAATATGTTTAAAAAAATTAATATACAAACCCCTTGTATTAATAAAAAATTAAGAATAAAATTTTTTAAATTTTTTCTTGTTTTATTTTTGTAATGCGGAAATGGATGATCTGGATTTGGTAATAGGATTTTCACGTGTGGACAATGGGTTGCTGATGCAATCCCTTGTGTGTATCATTTTTTCAATAACTTACAGATGTTCTTGTTCTTAAAAAATAATCTATTCAGAGATATTTAAGTTGTTACAGTGGTACGTAGGATTGATTGGTGGGATATCGTTAATTCATGTGAGACTAGTGTGTATTGGATGTTTGACTTAGTCTCATAGTCAATGATGGTGTGACCCATCCTAAAGATGTTGCTTGAACTTTTAGTTCATCCGAGCTGGAAAATTGGTCGGTCAGGTCGGGTTGGTCACTTCGAGTTCGAGTTATTTCAGGTTCGGGTCAATTCGGATTCGGGTTGAGAACTGTATGTTCATGACCCAGTGCCATCGGGTTCGGATTGACCCAACGGGTTATGACTTTGGTTTTTTAAATTCTTAAATTCACATTAACACTTACATTTTCTATTCAATAAATTTAAAATATTATAAAAATGCATTAAATATATTGGATTATTTTATTTTAAATTCTGAAACAATTTTTAGATATATAAACCAATATAAGGAATTTAAAAAATGCTTAAGTTTTGGAAAAAGTAAGATAATTATGTAATATCATTAAAATTTTATCTGAAAATATAAATTTATACACTAAAAATGAGTGGTAAAGTGTATGATTTTGAAAAATTCTTACTTTAGCGGGTCGATCAGGTCGGGTTCGGTCAGGTTTGACCCATTTTAGCTAATCATTTTGGGTTTGGTCAACTTCGGGTTTGGTCATCAAAACCTTTGTTTAAAACCCAGTGTTTTAAGGTCGGGTTTCGGGTCAAAAACAGGTCGGGTCATTTTTTGCCAAGTCTACAGTTCATGCTCTAAGCATCTTTAGTGCGACCACGGGTGTAACTATCCTTCGACTTGAAGTATTACGTTTTCTACATATGTGAACCCGCATGCTTTGATGCATTGTCCTAAGCCATATGAAATAAGGGTGGTATACAGGCTTTGTTTTGGGTATGCCGCAGCGCGTATTCAGAAACGTAGATTACGTATATAGGATTTGTCACTACTTTAAGAGATTAATGTCTTATGGGGCCCAGTGATAAGTTATGAGTGAGGAAATTGAATTGCCGTGCTGAGATGTTTTTATGACGTCTGTTCCTATTAGTCAGACTTCATAAATCAGTGAATGACTTAATGGATACAAGCTGGATTTTATTAATCCCTTGCATTAAGTTTAGACATTGAGACAAAGGGATACAATTACATGGAGTTTGAGTCGTGGAAAGGTTTTGACGGTGCAAACGCCTTAACTTATAATCTGGGGACAATAATGTGTTGCTAGATACCGCTTATTGTTTATAGTATTGGTTCAGAACCAATATCATGTGCAGCTTTATAATTGCCTATATGGGTCACACACTTTGGACAATTTAAGGAGTAGGATTAAACAATGGGATAATAAGTAATTTGTATATTTGTAAAATAGAAAAATAAAATATTTTGGAATATAATATTATATATATATAAAATTCGGTTATATATATATTTATATATATATTTTTACCGATTAATATATATATATATATATATATATATATATATATATATATATATATAAAATTTTGGTTTGTCATTTTAATTATGAAAATAATTATTTTGACATAATTATTTAAAGTATATTTGTATACTTGTTTAAAATGATATTGGTATTTTTATTTGATTTAAAATTAATTTTATATTAATTTTTGGTGTCAAATAAAATACACTTTGAACATTTAAGTGGAGAAGAATTTTGAAAATCCTTCTCAATTTCTCAAATCTTCATTTACGGCCATGTGATGTTAATGAAGACAAAACTCGTTTGACTTTGCATTTTAAAGATGTATGAAATTTCCTAATTTGTCATTAAGTGTATAATTGTTTTTTAAAACCCTCTTTAATGCTCCATATAATAATGAAACACATTCAATTGAAAGAGGTGTAGAAACATTTGGCCATTACACTTTAAAGAGAGAAAAAATTTATCTTTTGTGCTCCATTAATATTATTTTGTGTATAGAAAATATCTATAATATTTTTTAAATATTATTAGAAATATTTTATATAGAAATATACAAGATTATTATTATCCCAATTTTAATCTTTATATTTTATATGAATATAATCTTTACTAGCATAAAGATTGTGGTACACTCCGGCATTGTTCGTGTGTCAAAGTTGGAGACCAGACGCTTGAACGGTTACGTTTGCACTTTCAATGCTCTTCCTACGACTTCTTCGTTTTTACCGTTTCCGAAGAAAGGTATAAATTTCTTATTTACTATAAGTTTTAGTACGTGATTCTGGGCAAGATAATCATGTTAGGATGTTAAAATTTTTGTATTCCGCTGCATATCCTTGCATAATTACCTTTCAGATACATTATCACCCGGCATACCCGGGCGAAAACCAAGAGTTCAAAACAAAGAAAGATAAAATTCAAGACAAAGGAAGAGGAGGAGCCACCTCATCTTCGGACACAGAAGGGAGATCATAGGCTTCTGAGTAAAAGTTGGGGTCCCGGGTGGAGAGAACGTCATGAGTGGCAGCCCTCTTCGTAAACTGGCGGACCTTGAAACCGTTGGAGCCCACAACCGTGATCATCTTATTTCCCTATGGCTCGTGGTAGAGGGTCTTAAAAAATGTCATCATCACCTTTGGGGAGGAGAGAAGCTCCCGGGAAAGTTCAGCTTGCTGCTCCCTCGCCCATGCAATGGCCTCAACCGGGAGGTTGGTTTCCTTCTTCTCCAAATACCTCCTGAGCTTGAAGCTGTCTTCCATAACCCGGTTATTCTCCTTCATCAGTCAGTTTTTCTCCGCTTGCAACTCCTTCTCCTTTTCCGCCTCCCAGGCCAAGTTGGTCAACTTTGCCATCTCCTGCGTCTGATTGGTAAGAACAAGGAACATCTCCTTGTTCTTGATCATCTGCTGCCAGATCTCATCCTTGGCTACCTGCAGCATACCCTCCAGCCGGGCAACAGCAAAAGACCAGCCTTCAAGGAGGTGGTCCCCCATCAACTGGCCAATCTCATCGGCCTGCATAAAAAATAAAAGGAAGAACATTAGTCACATGAAGGAAAAGCTGGGAGGGGTAGCACATTTGCACATGTTGGAAATTTTTACCTCGCAAAGACGGAGCCCCATCTCGAACCAAAGCTCCTTTAGGGGAGGGACATTAACCTGCGGTTCGTCTTGAACTTCTGGGAGGACCCATGAGCAGCATCGGTTGTTCCCTCTCTCCCTTCTCCTTCTTCTGTTTTGACTTCTCATTGCTCAAGGACTTATTCTGCTTCTCTAGGGAGGGTTGCATCTCCTCTAAGAGAACTTCGGTCGCCTCCTGTTGGTGGGGGGCCTCTCGGGAAGAGGCCCCTACATTCCCAGTGGCCTTCTTCGACGGCATTGCGAAAGTGTCAAACTCCATATCTTCAAAGGGAGGAGCAACTAGTTAGATTACAGAAGATCAAAGAAGATTATAAATTAAAGAGGATAGGTTAAGGACGAACCTGGGCGAGGCGAGCACGTGGCCTCGACATGGTTGCCCGGGGAAGGTAACCTGCACCCCTTTGCTTCACGGGCCCTGGAGGTACCCCCACACCTCAGTTGACGCGACGGACCCAGCTGCCAAAATGGAATTTCCTTCCAGTATATGGGTCACCCTCGAGAAGTTTCTTTAAGGCCTCTTCCATATCGAGGGTGTCAGCCGGTAAGGTGTACTCGTAGTTCAACAGGTGATCGCTCCATCGCAGGTCGGCTAGGGGAAAGTCGTCCCCCAGGAACTCGATGAAGGCGTAAGCAGACTTCCACCCCCTATTGCCGGGGGAAGATCAGTTATGAACGTCATGTTTTGGAGAGACTTAAAGTACACGAATCCCTCACACCTAGTCTTCCCAAGAAAAACCTTAAACAAGTATATGAAAAGAAAAAGGGAGGGGTCTAGAGTCTAGACCAAGTGATTGACATATATTGACGAAACAATTGAGTAGCCAGTGAGCGCTTGTTATTATTTGACCGGGGAGTATCGAGAAAACGTGAAAGACCCTGACGAGTTGGGGACGGAGGGGGAAGACAATTCCCCCTCCAAGGACTTGATGTGAAAACCTACCGGGTGTCTTCATGGGGGACTATAATGTTGGGCCTCCTCGTGTCATAATGGAGAATATACCTGTTATGTAGCATTTGACGCGCCTAGTTTAAGGCAATCCTCGGCGTAGAGGGGTGGATCTCCCTGACGTAGTCAGTGGGAAGCGGGAAATAATCAGCCTCCCACAAACGGTGCTCCCATCCCTCCCAGCTTTCGTTCTCCAAGTTGAAGGGGCCAGTGCTTGATTCAGAGGCTCGGGGTCAGTAATGGCCTTATCACCCGGGGCTTTAGGTGATTGTGGAGATGAAGAAGAAGGGTGGGAAGAAGAAGAGGAAACAGACTTATCAGATCCATAGGAGCGGACCGACGGGTTTTGACAATCGGATGAAGGCATGATCGGGAAGGGAAAGATGAGGACTCAGAGGACTAACTTGGTGTAAGGAACTCGGAGGACTCGAAGCGCAAGGATCTACCAGGCTAATCTCTGAAAGTGAAATGCAGAAAGTGAAAAGTATTAGAGGGGAGGAGCCCCTGTATTAGAGGGGTACGGTATAGTGTCGATCCCCGCGCTGGACCACCCATTCTAGCAAACCGCATGGAGACAAATGGCATAGGGATAATGATTACCTAACATGAACCATTACTGACGCCTGGGGAAAACTAAATGACATGACGATTGCAGATGGGCGGTAAACATTTAAAAGTTTAAAAATTCAAGATTTGAATCTTAGGCGACAAAAATCCCTCGGTTCAAAAAATTTGCAGAGGTATGCACAAATTCAGAAAATTACTTGATTTTCCTACACAGCCAGTAAGTGGAGGACTTTTTGATGGGTGTACTCCCACCCAAATACCCGACCTGGGTCAGATACGACAGGAAGTGACCAGGTGGTCCATGAGCAGTATGTACCAGGGTAGTTGGGCTGAACCCAAAACTTGACCGGCGAGGCAATCAACTACTCGAATGATTCTCTACCCGCCACAATACCGGTCAAGGAGCATGGCTCTGCGGGAGGGATTCACATATGACCAAGGCATTCCGTTAAGAAACCACCCGGGTGCATCATTGGGATTTGCGTGCATACTAACAACCTAACATACTGGGAGAATAGTGATTTGGAAGCAACTTTTTCAAACCAAATTCCCCTGCAACAATGGATATATTCAAGCATCCCAGCCAAACACTACATGCCAAACGGCCATCACCTCGTCACGTGACTGGCACGTGAACAGGCTTGGATGCTTGACAGCCAGTAACCTAGTTACACTATAAATAAACCTGTAACCCTTAGTAGAAAGGATTTGAATTTCATTTCTCTAAACGCATATTGTGTAATATCTCTTTGTACCCTTCTCATACGTAATTACAATTGGACTACAAGTGTTCCTACCTACAATCCTCTCAGTCAACCCTTGTTTACTAAGCGGCTGTTTGGCAACTTCTGAATAGGTAAGTGCTGAACCAGTAAGAAGTCTGAACCATTAAGTGTTGAACCAGTAAGAGGTCTAAGAGGTCTGAACCATTAAGAGCTAGTATATTGCTTAACTATTCAGAGGCAAATGTCTGATTAATTCAGATAAGAGGTCTTAACCATTCAGACTCTGTATAATACTTAACCATTCAGACATCTGAACCATTAAGAGGCTGAAACAAACAGTCTGAACCATTAAGTGCTGAACCATTCAGACATCTGAACCATTAAGAGGCTGAAACAAACAACCCCTAAGTCTTTTCAGTCTCTAAAGTCTGTAAACCGCCCTAGACTCGGTCTAGAATAGTTTACCTAAGTGGTTAATTTACATCATCAATGTGAAATAAAAATTTAAATATAAAAAATAAATAATATTATTTGTAATTTATAAGTGTAGGTATGCATGCATGTGAGTAGAAATAATTTAATTAAAAAATGATGGTGATGTCTTTGCATGTAGTACATGCAAAAGTGTTTTATTTAAAACAAATCAAATGGTGGTAGGTGTGTGGGAGGAATGATGGTGATGTTTTTGCATATAGCAAATGCAAAAATATTGAAGTAAGAAAAAAAAGCAAAAATATTGAAGTAAGAAAAAAAAGAGAATCACATATTATACGTGTAAAATTTAGACGGGGGAATTTGCTTTTCAAAAAGTTCTGACTAAGGGAATTTCTCCTTGATGACAAGTGCGTTCAAATGATTGTCAGCTATGTTGAAAAAGTCCCTTAGTTTTCTTGAAGACGTCGAGCCATTTTTTGTCTCAAAATTGTCTTTATAAGTAAATTCATGAAGGACCATCCATGCCCACATGGGTAGCTTAGGTTGCGTTCTCTTCAGTTGATCTAATATGATCTGAATTAATTAGGTCTAATTTGAATGGATCTGATCTAATATGAATGGATCTCATCTGATCTAAATGAAATTTAATTCAAATTAAAATAATTAAAATAACAATAATAATAAAATTTATAATTATAATTATAATTATTATTTAAAATAATAATTCTATTATTAATTATTGTAACTGTAATTATTAATTAATATTCTTTTTATTATTATCATTGTTATTTTAATAATTATAATTATAAATATTATTATTATGTGTTATCATTAATTATGATTATTATCATTATTAAATATAATTATAATTAAAATAGTAATAATTATTGAAGTCCATTATTATTATTAACAAAAGTTATTGTTTTTATTATATTTTTAAATAAATATTATTATTAGATATTAGTTTCATTATTAATTATTATTATTATTAGTTAATAATAATGATTATTATCAGTTTAATTATTATTATTAATATTATTTACTATTGTTGTTAATATTAAGTACGATGATAATAAAATATTATTATTATTTGTTAATAATTATAATGATTATTATTGTTTTATTTATTTATTTATTTATTATTATTAATTATTACTATTATTTTGTAGGACAATGATAATAAATTATTTATTATTATTAGTGTTGTTGTTATTATTCATTATTATTATTATTACTGCTAATATTTATTACTATTGTTATTATTGTAATTTTTGTTATTATTATTTTCAAATTATTTGTTTTTTAAAATAATTTTCTTGATCTGAATGGATTTGATCTGATTTGATTTGAATGTATTTGATATGCTCTGAATGGATATGATGTGATCTGAATGAATCTAATTCGATATGATTATGATAAGAATAAGGAATAAGTAGCAGAAATAAGTTAAAGAGAACGAGACCATAGTTCATCCAAGAGTAGGATGTCAAGCCCAAAGTCCTAGGATCGAATCCGGCAGTGGCAGTGTAAAAGTCATATTCTTAGTAATAGCTTCTTGTTTACATCGGATACAGGACAACCACTTTCAAGATCAGACAAAGATTATACCATGATTTATCTCCTCACTAGCTTATTGGGCCCGGGGTGTGAAGGCAGCCAGTGCAGGCATTCCACCTTTTATGAAGGACTATCCATGGCTCGAAAAGCTCCTAATCATAGGAGTAATTAGTTAAGGTATTATTACTACAAAAGATAAGGCTTCATTTGGAAATGTTTACATTTAGTGCTTCAGACTTGTTTTTAATAGTACAAATTAACATTGAAAAATGCTAAACCCAAACATTGTTGTTAATTAGCATTTTCAAAACATTAAAAGTAAAAACTCAAGTTCATCAAAATGGCACTAACTAAAGAAAGAAGATATAGTTTAATTGTATGGTCACAAAAACAAAACTTATTCAGGAATAGGAGTATTAATAACTACGGAGTAATACATAATACAGACCATATCATGTTTTTAGACGGCGTAAACTCTTCAGAAGAGTAAAATAAATAACGCAGCCACACAGGACGGGAGATGTTTTTTTACACACTAACCTTAAAAGGCAGTTTTAGCATAGGAGTAAGAGCGGGTTCTCTTCAACTTATTTTATTACTTATTACTTATATATTCTTATTGGAATCAAATTATATCGGATCAAAAACAGTTTTAATTATAACTACGAATCTACAAACAGATTGAATCAGACCAAATCAGAACTTATTCTAATCAGATGAGAACCAATCAGATCACGTGAAGAGAACAAGCTCTAAGTGTGTTTTGGGGGCAGTGAATTCTTGGAGAAGTAGAAACCACAAGGCGAGAACACTTGTCCTAGCGTCACTTTGGAAAGCACCCCCCGAGCCCAAAATACATTTAGAATTGTATTTTGGCGAAGCGAAATCTCAAAAGCTGTTTCCGAAAACAGCCCCATGCCCCCTCTAACTCTCAGAATATGTAGTCTGGCAGTTGAAGAGGAAATCTTGCCACTTTGACTTCAAATGGACTGCCTTTTGGGTCTGCTAAGCTGAGAAGAACAGGAGAAAAATCAGCCTCATTATTTTGTGTGCATTCTACCAAAACCTTTGTGAGAGAATGTCATGGCGAGACAGAAACCGAATTACATGCTCAAGTTTTTTTTAACTTATTACTTACTCCGTACAACTTTTAAAGCGTTGTGTTTCAAATAGATCACCACTATTCAACACTTTTCACATAAAATTACAACTGAATTTTAGCTCAATCTGGTTAAGTTTAGACACTTCAGTTGAAAAGGAACAAACCCAACCTCATTCTATAGGTTCCACCAGAAATAATGTGAGGAATAATATTTACCAGCATTTAAAATACTCCCTCCGTCCCATATCTAAATTCCCAGTTTGATTTCACACAAATTAATGCAAATTTTAGAGTAAGTTTGATTTTTCAATTTTGCCCCAGAAATGACATTGATGTGATATTGGTTGAAATGAGAGAGAGAGAGAGGGAGAGGGAGGGAGGGAGCAATGTGATGGGAAATAAATACGGGCGAGTATAAAAATGATTCAAAAAAGTAGGGGTATTATAGTATATTTGGTGTGTTAGTTATACCAAATATGGAAGTGTGAATTTTCTTTTGGGACGCCAAAAATGAAAAGTGTGAATTTAGTTATGGGACGGAGGGAGTAGTAGGACATGATTCTATAACAAAAAAACTAGCTGGAAAACATGAACACTAAGACTGGTGATAGTAAATCATCAACAACAACCTAGTGAAAATAGTACTCAGTAAATCAACAACAACCTATTGACGATAGTAATTTGTAAATATATATCAGAAAACAAATTCTGGAGATGCCAGAAACATGACACTAGTAAAATGCCTTGAAGGCTTACCATCCAGGAACAAAAGTGAAGAGACCTTCTATTGAGCCTGACGGAGATGATAGCTGTGTGCAACTCTCATATACAAATTCTTCTTCACCAGGTAGTAGAATTGGGAACTGCAAATATCCAAGGATAGTTAGGCTTTATTTACAAGGTGCACATGAGAGCAATAAAGTTAATGGAACTACAGTGTCAAAAGAAAGCCTTATTTCAAGTAACTTGGGGATCAAAAGTAACACAGGTGAAAAAAAGAATGAGAAAGTTAGAGCAATTATAATTTAGCTATCAATAATCAATCTTATGGGAAGGATGGAGGGAGGGCGGGATAAGGGCAAGATCTTTAAAAAAAACTGAAAAGTGGCAAATACGTCATTAAATAAGCTCAAACTAGCCAACTATAGAAAATGGAACAAGTACTTCAAACATTTGTTAAAAAAAGAAAGGGAAACATACATTCAAGTGCAAATGGAGAACATGAAAACTAGGTTGGGTGAGGAGAGGTGAAAAAGAGATGAGGTTGAGGTAATCAAATCGGACCCAGTTACTGTAGTCACTCAGCTAGGGTGACTGAGGTTGTAGAAATATGAGGGTGCAGTATAGAAAAAGTGACTTAAATTATCTGTCGTATGGTTTGTGAGTTGTAACACCTGAGTCAATAACCCCAGCAGGAACTGGAGGGAATGAAACGTGTGTTTGCTTAATTGCTGCACTTTAGAAATTACTAGTATTTTTAAATACAAAACAAATAGATTTCTTATAGATAACACTAATGGAAGCAAAATTTGATACAGAGTCCCTTATTGCTTATATTGCAATTTTCGGTGATCCCACTTCAGAGGATCGAACTTATGGAAATAATATGCAATTCCATGATTCTTAATCTTCTCATTGTCTAATCTGGGAGATGCTTAGGCTCCCACACAGTGGAAAACACTGACCACTTGCCAGGGCAGGGGACCTCACCTTGACATGTAAACTCAAGAAGAGAACCTTAATGCAACTCTTTTGTTTCAAAAAAATGATGAGAAAATAATTATACCTTTCCAATTACTCCTTCTCCACTAACATCATCTACAATAGAATCATTCACACGAATGATCCAATGTCTCCTATACAATTGGCAAGAACTAAACTTCATTCCGTTTATGATACATCCTTTAGGTGAAAGAGACATGCGGATAGAATAAGCGAAGATATATTCCAGAGAATCTGGTCGAAGGTTGCAGCACTCCGGAACAAACACAGCAGATGCACGTACCTGAAATATATACCTCAGGTTTCTGATTCAAGCAATTAGAACCTACAAAATTGAAACAAGCACCGATGTCTTGCTTAGAATATATAATGTAATGGCATAATAGGCACCTTCACACCATTTGTCACAGCAGTGGAACAAAGTGGAGGTTGTTCTGGATAAAGACTGATGCTTCCAATGCTCCTTTCTGTTCGAACCTTCACAATCCCATTTTCTAAATGCCGGCCATGTTCTTCTAGCCACAATAACATGCCATCTTGCTGTTGGCTGCAATCTGTGAGGTTTATAGAACACAACAAAGAGTGTGGTACACAAGGAAGCATTTCGCAGTCACTAGACATATTCCAGCCGCCCACGTGGAGTTGGCCAGTTGAACAGTTCAAGTAAAAAACCTTTTCATAACCTGTAGTAGAAGCTGCTACAACAGCAAACTTGGAGCCATTGTCATTTCCCAAATGGCACCTAGCATGCTTCGTTTCAATTATGACTTGACTTAAAGGAAACAAAGAAACATTCACTATATGGTCGTAGAAGGTGTACCCTCCAATCAAGCCCAACAAGTTTACTGGTGTGCTTCTAGTGACGTCTTTACTTGATTCTTGGCCATCACAAAAACGGTATAGAGCCCTTGTGGGAAGAGGTAATTTGACTTTTAAACACTCCTCCAAGTGCTTTATTTTATCCTCAGATGCACCTTTACGTAACGTAGGTAAAACCTCAGGGAAATTAATTTCCATCCAGGCTCTTATTCTGCTCCAACATCTTTTGGTTCTTATAACCAAAGACCATGGGTACATATTGAAAGCTTCTCTCCATGTTTGATAAGAGACCTAAACACACATAAAAGTTTTGCTGCAATTCTTTAACTCCATGTCTGGGTGTGTTACATAATGTACATACCTTCTCTAGGACATTAGTTATTGGGAAAATTGACAATAGGAAAAATGGGTACTTTTCTCCCAATAGATTCAATTCAAGGCGGGAAAAAAATTGAAAAATACAGGAAGTCCAGATTATATGAACTATTACTTTCAATCCAAAAACAGCTTAAAGTAGTGGAGCAAAATATTTCAATTCAAGCACAATTATTCACAATTAAGGAAACGCATAAGCAGTTTTACTCTGAAAGAAGAGGTGGGGTTGCCCAGTGGGTCCTGAGGAGAAGATAGTCCGAGTTCATCAATGCAGAATTTAGACCAGACGATGTCATCGCCGGAGACCCAGTCCCTAAATCTCCGGCTGATGCAGGCCGTGGCGGCGACGTTCTCCGGTCCGAGTTTGGTCAGAATGATGTGAACCGCCAGCCCGCCCACGCTCTCTAATCCCGTCATCCTTTTGTTTTCTTCTTCCCAGAAATGATGGGAACCAGAACTGGAGATTGAGGCTTTAGAGCATCTTTAGTGTGGCAGATCTTACCTAGGATTGAAGTCATTGAACTCCCCATCACTTTTTTTTAAGTGAAACAACTCTACACAAATTTCTTTTTCGATTTTATTTTATTTTTCTTTGAAGGCTTTTTCAATTTTATTTGTTAGAAGATTAAAAAAAATAAAGTATAAAGATTTTTTATGTGATGCTCTTGATGATGATATAAAATAAATAGTACTCCCTCCGTCCCACAAAAAAAGTTCTCATTTTGACCATAAATTGGTCAAACAGTAACACACTTTGACCATGAATTAAATATAATCTAAATAAGGAAATGCTAATAAAATTTGAGATATCAAAACTAGATCCTAAGATGAATCCAATTATATTAAATTTATTTTATAATTCAATATACATTTCTCACAATTTGTAGTCAAAGCGTGTAAATATTTGACTAAATACTATTCAAAATGAGAACTTTTTTGTGGGACGAAGGGAGTATATATTAAAAGTAGGGGTATGATGGAATATTCACTAACCGTCTAATTTTTTGTTAAAAGAGGAAACGAGAAAAAAAAATTGGACTATCAAAAAGAGAAATTTACTTAAATAAGACTAAAACATAATGACTTTTCCAATATAAGACCATATGTTTTTATTTCCCAATGTAGGACTTTTGGTCATTATCAAGTAGTCATTATTCAAGTAAATGTCCATCATTACTGGACATTATTCCTCCACGAGGTCATTATTAAGTTCTATTTAGGGAATAAAAAAGTTTAAGTCCTACATTGGGAAAATCATTATGTTTTAGTCCTATTTAGTGCAAATTTTACTATCAAAAAAGAAGGGGAGTGTTTTACCCCGACCTCCTTAACTATGCAGTTAAAATTGACAAAAATAATATTTTAAAAATATTTGTGTTAAAGCTGCTTGTCATCCAATGTTTTTAAAACTAAATTTAACGCACAAAAATATTTTTAAAATATTTTAAAAATACTCTTTTTTCTAATTAATATTGATACAAGAATAATATTTTTGTATCAATATTATTTAAAATAATATTGTTCACAATAATATTTTAAATATTTTGGCTATGAGACCATATTATTTTTGTATCAATATTTTAAATTTAATTTTTGAAATATTTTAAAAATATTAATTTTGCTAATTAATATATCCTGTAATTTTTAATTAATCTAAGATTAAAGATTGAAAATGATTGATTGTAAAAAGCTAAAACTAGACAAATTATGAAAGATGAAATAGTAGCAAGTTTTATTGAAACATCTCATTTATTTTTAAGAAAATACCCCAAACAGCAGTCCTTAAATATTTTCTTGTTTTTATCAGTATATTCATAGATGTTAATAAATACATTTTTTGGTTTCTTTATTTTTCCTTTTTCGTTTCTCTTTTTTCTTCACTTCGCTTCCTTGTTCATAATTTTTTTAATAAAATAATTTCTTCATATTAATTTTCCTTATTCTGTCTTTTTTTGTTTGTTTCAAAAATAAAATAAAAAACAAACAGAATAAAAGAAAAAGAGAACAAAAGAATTAAAGAATATCTAGAATAATTGAAATGATAAATTATTCAGAGAGAGAGATTAGGGTTTAGTAAAAAAGTATTCTTTATTCTTTCATTGATAAAGGATGAGCCTCATCCCTGAGACTCCTGCAGAACCGGCCAGGTCACTAAAAAGAGGTAAATTGGATTTTGATCACAGATCAGTAGAAGAAGTGAAGCCTCCACCTGATATTTGCAAAGCTATATATTTCGCAGCACAGTTGACACAAATCGAATTCGGATCTACCCCTGGTAGTCATTGTTGTTGTCAATTGCCCAACGCCCATCGGCTTATTCATTCATTGATAATTCCATGTGTGATGGTTACATATATAGCTTGCACACCTAAAGAATACAAATCATAAAAGGCAACTAAATAAAAACGAATCTTAATTATAAGAGGTTCTCCATTTGACCGTAAATTATGGAAAATGTATATTTTGTTATAATGTAAATTTAGTAAAATTAAGTTTATTGAGAAATATAGCTTTGAAATATGAAATTTTAATACTCCGTAATATTTAATTATTTTAAACTATATTGAACTCATGGTCAAAAGGTACAACAATTTAATTAAACTATATTTAACTCTCTAATGCTCCGTACTACTATTATTATTATTATTATTATTATTATTATTATGGGAAATATAGTTAGACAACACTTTCCTTGCCTCGAAAACCAACTATTCCTCAAGTTGGAAATTCATTAAAGTTCATATTTTACATGTGAATTTTAGGACCAGAATAGGTCAATAAAGCATTATAAATGACTTGAGAGTACAGACTAAGGGGGCATTTGGCAATTGTTGAACCAGTAAGAGCTGAATCAGTAAGAGGTCTGAATGTGTAAGAGGCTCTGAATCAATAAGTGTTGAACCATTAAGAGCTGTTTGGCTGTATCTTTGAATGACTGTGCAGAATGACTATTTTACCCCTCTAAACTATTATGTGCTGAATGAATGTATTTGTTTGGACAGAGTTCTAAATAGTGTACAGATTAATCGATAGTTGTAAAAAGGAAAATACAAAATGTCATAGAAAATCCAAATTACACATAAATCCTTTAAAATCCATGGAAACATACGAGAATCCAAAAACAAAACAACACAACATACGAAATTCAAATACAAATAACACAACTTTGCATACAACATTAATTTGAATCATTTGAAAGCAACTGATTAGCAATCTGGCCGCGTAAAAAATTCATATACTCAATCCCTTGTGAATCCCACTCTATGTCGTGAACTAACAGGCCATCGTTTTCTCCAGTTTGCATTTCATGAAACATCGTGTTCTCATCATACTCCATAAATAACTGATCATAAATATTGCATTTCTTTATAAAATTATGGATGGCGAAACAAGCAATCACGATGTCTCTATGTATTGGAAAAGAAAAGGGAGCCATTTGCTTCAAGATTGGGAATCTCGCCTTTAGAACACCATATGCACGTTCAATGACATTTCTAAGTTGTGCGTGAGCATGATTGAATCTTTCTTCCTTAGTTAACGCACGTTGTCGTCGAAAATCAGCTAACCAATACCTCGTACTACGGTAGGGAGTCATAAATCCACGAGTGTTGGTGTACGCAGCGTCACAAAGGTAATACTTATCTGTATCAATATCAAAACTATCATATAAAAAACAAATAATGTGTGAAATGAACATTGAAGAATGGTTAAAAACCTGGTGGCGGGAAAGGAAAACCAGAATTTGGGTTGAATGCAACTTCTTTTAAAACTCGTGAATCATGCGCAATGCCCTCCCATCCGGCCCATACGAATGTGAATATCATATCAAAGTCACAAATTGCTAATACATTTTGAAAGCATTCACTTTTTCCTCTTCCCCTGTAACGAGTCTGTTGATCAACAGGCACAATCGCATGTATAAGAGTTCCATCTAGGGCACCTATTGCTCCAGGAAATATTTCTTTTAGCCTTCTATGTCGATAGGAGTTATTTGCGCTGACATTAGAAGATGTTTGAACCATAACTTCTCTTGCGAAATTCATCATTGCCTTTAGGACCTCATGAAAATATCTATGAATTGTTTCTGTTGAGTGTTGAAACCTTCGTTTAACCACTCGAAAACGTTGATTATGTCCAATGACCATACAGAACATAGCCAACTTTTCTTCCAAGCTTATTGACCTACTACTTTGCAACCAATTTTTTTGATTAAAATGATTGCACAATAGTATAAATGCATCACGTGAAAGACGCATCATCTCATGACATTGTGTAGAAGTACCATGCAATAATTCTTGCGTGTATTCATGATCGGTTAATGCTGAATTCAAGTCTCTTATCCTTCCCAAATTTATTCTCGAGGCTAATGAAACCCAATACCAACAAAAGATCATGAAACCTATAATCTCATCTTCCGAATCCATAATGTACCTATCATAACATAAATAAACAACTATATCATCCACATTAACATAGCATCCAAAACACAACATCCATAACATAACATTCAAAACATAACATCCATAACATATTGTCCAAAATATAACATCCAAAACATAACATCCAAAACATAACATCCAAAACATAGCATTCATAACATAACACCTAACAAAAAAACAATCAAAGCACAATCTTAATTAAACAATCCATACTTTGCTCCCGCATTCTTAACCCATTTCTCACAATTTTGTGGCTTAAGACGTACCCACAGTTTCCGAAGATCGGCACTCTCACCAATATTTCGCATCTCACTCATCCCAACCCAGTGTCTCCAACTTCTCCAAGCATGCATCCATATCATCAGAAAGTGTGTGTTTCTCAATCATCATCTTTGCCAACTTGCTAATATCTTCACCAACTTCTATAAGCTTTGACTCTAATGTAGCCTTATGTTTTCGTTTCTCTCCTTTTTCTTTTTTTTGGGGTCGAATAATACTTGACTCCTGACTAACACCTTTACTTGGGGAATCCATTTGAGTGCATTCAACGTCCACAACATCCATATCATCCAACTTGTGCTCATACACTTCCTCAGAAGGATGAGGAAGCATAGAACTTGGCCCCCAACTATCAAACCCATTTGAAGTAGACCCTTCATACAATTGACAACAAAGCTCAGGGTAAGCAAGTGGCACACTTCTCAAAGCTTCTACATACTTGTTACACTGTGTGAAGAAAAATTTTAAAACACTATAAAATTAAATAAATATACCAATAGTAATTATTAGTTTAAAAGAGATACCTTCATCTCAATTTGCCGCTCTTCTTCTGACAAATTAAAAGTGTTTGTAAGTGGATCATAAACATTCCCGATTTTGTTTTTAAGCTTTAACCAAGCTGCAAATTTTCCTTTAAGAAAATCAAAATGATTCTTCATTTGACGTTGTTCCACTATGAAATTGTGTTATGTTTTCAATTTTTCAGCTACACTTTTCCATGACGCTTGTTTAAGACTGCTTCCTTCACGTCCATGG